GAAATGAGTGCTCTTGAAAGTTTAGGGAAAATGAATTTCTATTCTCCTTTTCAAGCTAAAAAAGCATTCTCCTCCTTCACAGGGAAGCTAGTGAACCAGTTATAATTACACCCCGTACACTGAGGAGCGTGAAAGTGACATTTAGCAACACTTAAGCCTTGGATGTGTGGTGGCTGCAGTCAACATTATATAATTGCTGAAGCATCGATCCCGACAATTAGCACAGGGAAGCGGAGATGGAATGGAAGATCTCCAAGAAAATGCCACAAACCCAGAGTAAAATGGAGCCTAAAGTCTCTCTTGGAAACAGCTTCTCCTCCTCCTCCAAATGTTGAGACTTTTTCCTTTTTCCTGCCCCCAAAGTATTTGCCAGAATTGCCCGGGGATACAGCAGGCCTAGAAGCAGAGCCATGGGTGGAGAAGGAAATGTTGGAAGTTTTCTGATAGGCTGTCTACTCCCCGAGTTCTAGTCCAGGTGGTAGGTAGATGTAGGCCCTGGCAAAGCTAGTACAGCTGAACCAAAGGAGGCGAGGCCAAGAGGGTATGGCTGGGAAGACTGGAGCCATTCTTGCTGCCAGCAATGCAGTCATTGAAAGGGGTTGTGATGACAGAGAGCCCAGCCACTTGTGTTTTGGAAAGAATTAGGGACAGAGAGAGAGAGAGAATGCAGTGGCTGAACTAGGATGAGCAGGCACAGACATATGCGGGGTGGGGGGAGCAATTTTTGAGAAGCAAAATTGGCAGGACCTGATGAGTGACAGGCTGTAAGAGTGACAGGGTTATTCCCAAGCTTCTGGCTTTGTGTCTGGAAGGTTGAGGTATGGTTGGTAATAATTGTCATCTAGGTATAATTTGTGCTTCTGGGTGTGTCTGTAAGAACGGCCCCAGGGGGCTGGAGAGATGGCTCAGAGGTTAAGAGCCCTGGCTGCTCTTCCAGAGGTCCTGAGTTCAATTCCCATCAACCACATGGTGGCTCACAACTATCTGTAATGGAATCTGATTCCCTCTTCTGGAGGGAATCTGAAGGAATTCTGCATGGAGGCAGAATGTTGGCTACGTAATAAATAAATAAATCTTATTTAAAAAATGGTCCCAGGGAACAGGATTTATCCTTAGTACTTGAACTGGCTTTATGGAGCCCATTCTCTCTGGAGGGATACCTTGCTCGGCCTAGATATAGAGGGGAGGGCCTTGGTCCTGCCTCAAAGTGATGTGCTAGATTTTGTTGACTCCCCATGGGAAGCCTTACCCTCTCTGAGGAGTGGATAGGGTGGGGTGGGGCGAAGGTGGGGAGAGCGGGAGGCGGGGAGGGAGTGGGAACTGGGATTGGTATGTAAAATGAGAAAAGATTGTTTTTTTAAAAGTAAGTAAATAAATAAATTAATTTAAAAAAAGGGAAAGGGAAAAAAAAGTATGGTTCCAGGGACAATTAACAGAGGTGGGAAGACTCCTCCCAGGGTGGACAGTGGCTTCCTGTATTCTGACAACTGTTCTCGAACCTGAGTTCTGTGGTGAAACAACCTGAACCTGAAGAAAGGCTTGCGTGAAGCCCCACCCGGACTCTTTATTACTGTCTCCCCAAAGGAACAGAAGTCTCCAGGCAGTAGGCAAAGCCTCTCCTGTTCCTCTGGGACCCCAGACAGAGCTCCAGTACAGCTAAGGAGTGATGTAATAGCCCGCCAAGGTTGCTATAGCAACACTCCACAGGCTGGATGGCTAGATTACTTTCCCACAGTTCAGGAGTCTAGAAGTCAAAGATCAACCTGGTAGCAAATTTGGTCTGAGGTCTCTCCTTATCTTGTAGGTCATGGGTTCTTACTGTGACATCACATGGTATGTGTGTGTGTGTGTGTGTGTGTGTGTGAGAGAGAGAGAGAGAGAGAGAGAGAGAGAGAGAGAGAGTGTTCTCACATCACTGAAGATTGGCAGTGACAGCAGCAGCAAGAAGACTGACTCAAATACACTCATCTGCAGGAAGCAAAGGCAGGCACAGCCCTGCTGTTTCTTTACCCTCTATACAGCGTGGCTGCCAATGGTAGGTGCCACCCACACTGGAAGAAGGTCTTCTCCTCTCAAGACATTCTTCCTGAAAATTCTCTCATCTCTGTGTCCGTCAGCACATCTTGCGTGGCAGGTCTGTAATATAATACGGATGGGTCCTGGGCTGGGTTAGACCACTGATGTCTCTTCTCCGGCAGCATCCTGCATAGCTCTCTGAAAGCTAAGCATCGGGGAAGTTTCCTGACTGGGTCAAGATTCATCTCTCTGTGTACTATTTTTAAAGTCAACAAAAGAGTGGAGTAGTCAATTTTCAAGGCAAGAAGCACAAAATAAACAAAAAAGATAGCCAACATCATTAGCCACCAAAGGGGTACAAATTCAAACCATAATAAGATACTACTTCCCGGCTAGCACAATGGCTAAAATGGGGTTTAGTTCATTCCTACATGTGCAGTGAGACTAGAGACAGCCGGATGGCACACATGTGTCTGGGTCCAGTACAAAATGCCACAGCCACATTGAAAACAGTTTGGTGGTTTCTCATGAGGAAAAACATGACCCTGACCCTAGCAAACAGCTCAGCCATTTCTACCCCAGGCATTTATTCAAACAGGATAAAACTTACACTTAAAGAAAACCTGTGTGAATCTGTGGCTAGGTCTTGGGCAGGCACTGAGGAAGAAATCGTAGCTGTAGTGTCAAGACCACGCTACGCCCATAAACGAGCACCACGCTGCTCTGCCCCATTGTACAGCTCTTACATCCCTTCAATGCCCTCTCCCACAGCGTTCCCTGAGCCTTGGAACAGGGCGGATGGTGAACACTGAACAGTCACTGTCCTCAGCACCTAGACCAGTCATGAGCCTCTGTCTTAACCACCAGTCTCTGGAAATAGCACCTTCTTGGATCGGGATTTGGGGAAGTGCTTGTCTGTGGGACTAAGCATAAACATTTAAGAGGCAGTTTGACAACTTGTCGTTTAGCAAAGCACATATGCTGGCCTTCCCTAGTGCCTGTGACCTCCCCAGACATGGGCCTTTGGCCAGGTTCCCATCTCCTTCCAGTCTCAGAACTCTTTTCTGAAACTACTCATGGATGTACATGACACATACATGCACACACGCATGCATACACACACAGACACACACACACACACACACAAAGAAGACAGATAAGAGGGGAGGGAAGAATGAAAGAGAGGGGAGGAGAGGGAAAGTCAGGAGATGGGAGGGGAGGGGAGAAGAGAGGAGAGGTGAAAAGAGCCAGGTGTGGTAGTATACAGTTGTAATCCCAGTGGTGGGGAGGCAGAGACAGGTGTGTCCAGGGGCTCACTGACCAGCTAGCCTAATCTACTCAACAAGCTCCAGGCCAGGGAGAGAGATCTTGTCACAATAAAGCAAGTGGCCAGCACTTGAAAAACAACACCCAAGGTTGGCCTCTGGCCTCCACATTAGCATACTCATATGTGCATGTGCACCTGTATACATACATGCAATCACACTTGTATACATACATGCAATCACACGTGCACACGTACAAAGAAAAAAAGAAAGGAAAACTAATTCTATGTAATGATTTCTACCTCACTGGATTGTCACAAAAGTGAAATTGAAAGAGACTATGCTCACAGAGGGAAAATTCCGCATAATCCTTGGACTAGATCAGAGCAGTGAATGTGGCTCCTGGCAGTATAAAATGTTTCCAGTAGTAATTCTCAACAATAAGGACGTGGCTAATAAGTTAAGCTATATATGCCATGATTTATTTATAGAATGCTGTATAATACAGCCATTAAAATAATGCTCTGAAGAATATTTAATGGCACAGAAAAATGATCACAATATAATTTTAAGAGAAAAAAATGAGGCTATAAAACTGGGGTCTTAATTCTGTTCTTTAAAGAAAAGAGTGGGGTGGTGGTGGTGGTGTGTGTGTGTGTGTGTGTGTGTGTGTGTGTGTGTGTTGTGTATGCATCTAGAAAAAAGCACTAAGGGAAAATACAGTGAAATGTTGACTGGCAAGCCTTCCTTTTATACTTCTCTTTCTTATTCTTCTGCATTTGCAAATTTTCTCCAATACATCTGTATTCTTCTCATAACAATACATGTGCTTTTAAAAACTCAGATACCAATTTTCTTATTCAACAAAATTGGTTTGTTTATTTATTTTTTAGCACACAGTGTGAGCCAAGCAATATTTCAGACACAGGTATACTGTGCTAAGAAACTTAACAGGCACAGTTTTCTCAAGATGCCCTCTAGCTGGCACTGAACTTCTCTTAATCATTCTTTGCACAACTCTCTTCTGTACATTTAATTCATTCACTCCCCATGGCAAGGAACCATGGGGTCCTCTTCTATGGTGCCCTGTAACATTATACCCCTTACATTTGGCAGAAATTCAACAGTGGATTTTATCTTAACAATCTGATACCCTTTGACCGTGGTCAGTTTCCTACCAGTTAATACAGGATGAGCAGATGAGAGCACCATCCCCATGCTGGTTTGTTCCTGCATAGTCACCTTCCTCCATTGACATGGAAGTGATGGAGTTAAATATTCATTCAAAGTCACAGCCTGTGGTGGTGTTATAGTTTAGAGGTCAAATCCTTTCACACATAACACCCTACTCCAAAACTCGTGTGTTGAAAGGTTAGTCTCCTGATGGTGTCACTACTGAGAAGAAACCAGATCATCAGCACCCTACCTTCATCAATGGGTTCATTACTGGGGCCACGTGGTGTGAGGGAAGCCCTGGAAGGTGCTGGGAGGTGGGTCTGCTGGAGGAGGCAGCTCACTGGAACTGCATCTTTAAGAGGTATCTTGTCCCTGCTCCCTCCCGATACCCCCTCTCACCATCCCCCTTTTCTCTCCCCTGCACCCTTCCCTCTCCCTCTCTGCTTCCCGAGAGGTGAGCAGCTCTTTCCTTCCACCATGATCCTTTCCCCAGCCACAAGCCTGAAAACAATGCAACCAGCCCAACCCAGGACCAACACAAACCTTCCTCTTTAGTGTTGTGTCATTGTTGTCACTGGAAGCTGCCTCCAGCAGCTGGGGTTTCCTGGAGGGACATCCTAGATAAAGAAGAGATTGTCTTTACCCAAACTCCACAAAATAGACAAGGAATCTGGATTTTTCCCTCCTCAGGCAGCTTGAGTACACAGCAGGTGTTCTCCACTGTTTTCATGGCCTGCATACCTGGGCAAAAGGCAAAGCCTGTGGACCTGTCTTACAATAATATTTTTAATGCTTAAAACAAATACACAGGATCCCAAGGAAAACTACTTACACTGAAGTACGTCTCTTGTAATATTATGTCTCAAACATATGTATTATACAGGAATAGATTTGCTTCTTTGAACCACATTTAAAAAAAATAACACTACCCTTGAAAAACAAGCAATTAAGTTTTATTTTTAAAAGACATAAGGGCTGTTTTGCCCAGCTTGAACATGAACAAGAAACGGCGGGAGATAATGCATTTGCCGTTTGGTACAAGCCAATTGATTTTGACTTTGTGTGAGTACCTGAGCCATGCTAAGGATTCAATTCTTAAAGATACACTACTGCAAACAGAATTAAGGCTTTCATGAGTTATACAAATAATAGAGATTTCTTTCAGGGAGCACAAAAATTCTCCCAAGATTTTTAGTTAAACTCTAGTCAAATCTGTTTATTATTACTGCATGTGTGTGTTGTTATTACTGTATGGGGTGGTGGGGGAGCATGCTCATGTAAGGGTCAGAGGACAGCTTGGTAGAGTTGAATCTCCTTTTCCATCTTTGCATTGGTACCAGGGAATGAACTCGGGTTCACAAGCTTGGGAGACAAGTACCTACTGAGTCGCCCGCCTCGCCAGGCGTCAGGTTGGTTTTCGTCTGTCACTCAATGAACTAATGTTTGGCAAGATAAGCACCTTTAAGAGATTGTATCAGTAAGAAAATGTGACTCTGTGGTTCGGGTTCAATGCTATTAGGAGATAAATGTTTCTTGGAAGAGTTTTGGTTTGCTGGGCGTTTGCAGGTCTTTGCTTTGAAACAATTTGACGGAATCTTATAACTCAGCTGTGACGACCAGAGCCCTTCAGCTAGCCTTCTCAAGCCTTCCAGGATGATGGCCTTAGCCTCTTTTCATGAAAGCAGCTTAGCCAGGAAGTCTGGAGATGCTTCCAGAAGCCTCCATAATGGCTACATCAGAGCCAGTGATCGAGATTCATCTCAAATAAACAATCAAAACTAACTGCGTGTCAGCCAACCAGTAGACACACTTCCACCACTCAAACTGCCCTGACCCTTGGTTTTCTTCCTTCATTAAAAGAAAAAAATAAAACTTCCCCTTTGAAGACAATGAAATACCTCTCTGTGAAGAAGTTGTGGCAGTTGTAAAGGGATCCTACGCCCAGTTTCTGGTCCCAGGTTTCAAAATCTTCTGTGAGTCCAGTTCCAGAGGATCCAAGGCCTTCTGCCTCTGTGGGCAACAGGCACACATATGCTTCACAAATATACATGCAGGGGAAACATACATATGCACAGAATAGAAAGACCTGGAAAGGGTGTCCCCTGCACTTCATTTTCTGCTAGTTTTCCCTGACAAAACCCTTAAACACTATTACTCAAAACAAACTTTTAAGAAAATCAGGGACTTTTTGAACAAAACTTCCCTTGGGGTTTTTGGGAGAAGCAATAGCAACTGTTCATTCAAAACTGTTCTCAATAATCTGTCCTAGGGCATCCCAGGAGACTCCAACTTGGCCCCATCTCCTAAAGGTTCTATCATTGCCCAACAGGATGGAGACCAACTCTGAAAGCACACAAGTCTTTGTGGTCACTTAAGCAAACCATAGCTTGCTTCAGGTACACCAGCCATTCTTCATAAAGCACAATCTTTGACTTGGAAACCACTTCCGGTTTTTTCTCTTGTTTAGGCTGACAAATCCACTCACTATTTCCAGAGTGTATAGACCAGGCTGGCCTCAAACTCACAGAGATCCACCTGCCTCTGCCTCCCGCGTGCTGGGATTAAAGGCAGGGGCGGGCCATCACTGCCCAGCATGATCAAATTTCTTTAGTGGTATGGGCTCTTTTTTGTTTAGCATGTGATAGGAAGTTTCAAGAATCTGCCCAAAACGTTTTTTCATGAAATTGCAACGACATGTTGGAATCACGTGGTTTTTTTTTTCTTCATATACACACATTTCTAACCTGTCCTCCTATATGGATGTATTTTTCTAAACAGGCCAAAGACCTACAGTCTATGTGTCTTTTCACTTTCAAAAGTCCATTCTCAAGATTTTTCCCACGAAGGAAGAAAAATCTTTTTGTCCCCACCACTTCATTAACGTAAACGAAACTGGACACATTTTCCAGAAGACCTTCCTTTTCTTTGTCCACGCAAGATAAATTGGGTGTGTTAAAAAAAATAAATAATAAATAATAAATAAGGCTAAGACAAAATATTTCATTCCAATGACATTCTTTGGAGCCTAATACTTCATTTGTGGTTCGTAAAGTAATTTGTTTGATAAATTTACATAGGAGGGAATAATTTATATGTTCAGCAAAGTGTGAAATATTCATTAAATTCTGTAACAAGTGAGTAAAGCGAGGCAGATTTTACAAGTCAGGAGGTCAGCCCTGTTAGCATCGTTTAGCGTTGGTATGGAGGGAATCCAGCTTTTGTGGCAGGTGACCAGCTGCCTTTCTAGAAATCACGATTGTCATTTCTGATATTGTCAGCGTCTCTCTCAAAGGGGTTTTGTAAATGTGTAGCATTTTCACCACATCATAGCATAAGAACATCAATAGCACGCTGTGTCTGGAAGACTAGGCAATGTAACGCAGATGCTGTACAAAGAGCAAAAGGGAGAAACAAAGCCCGAGAAAGGACTTCTACTTCAATCAGGGCTTATTACACTGTGTGTGGCCCAGATCACTGCGCCGTCTGTCAGCAGTCACCAAGTGCTGCTTTAAATGTCACACTGACAGCCCAGCGGTCGGAAACGTTGCCGTTGCTCCAATCCACTCCAGGCTGCACTGCCCTCCGAGAGTGGAAAATCCATGTGAGGATGGATATGGTTTGCAGAACTTTAGGGGACTTTGAAAATGACTCTACCCATCCCACGTGTTGAACTAAAAACAACTTCAGAGAAGGAACGTTGAAAGATCTGGTTCACTGCTGTCTTGTTCAGGGTTTCTATGGCTGCTACAAAACACCATGACCAAAAGGAAAGTAAAAGGGAAAAGGGTTTAGTTGGCTTACACTTCAGCATTGCTGTTCATCACTGAAGGAAGTCAAGACAGGAACTCAAAACAGAGCAGGAACCTGGGAGAACCTGAAGGCAGGATCATGCGGAGACCATGTGAGGGGAGCTGCTTACAGGCTTGTTTCCATTGGGTTGCTCAATTCACCTTCTTATAGAACCCAGGACCAAGAGCCCAGGGATGGCACCACCCACCATGGGCTGGGCCCTCCCCCATTGATCACGAAAAGAGAAAATGCCTTAGAGCTGGATCTCAAGGAAGCATTTCCTCAGCTGAGGCTCCTTCCTCTGATGACTCTAGCATCTGTCAAGCTGACACACAAAACCACCTAATGCGTCTGCCCTTGGCTGTCCCACTGGTGCACAAAACTATCAGGTAAGGGCCAGTCAGCCGTGCCATGCTGTAGGAGAGTCTGCAGGGAAGAGTGATCTCCAGCTGCCTCCTGGCCAGTCTCTCAGCTGTTGCAATTTCAAAATACCGGTGGGTGTAAATAACATTCCAGATATCCACACCGACTGTAATGTGATATGAAAATATTTGTGCTGTCTATTGATGACAGGATCACAGGCCATGCTAATCCTACTGGTTTGTTTCCACGCTTGTAAATTGCAGGAAACACCACTTTTCACAGAGAGGCTGGTGAAAAGGAAGTTGGAGAGGGCTAGAGAGGCAGCTCAATGGTTAAGAGAACAAACTGCCCTTGCAGAGGACCTGGCTTTGGTTCCCAGGCCCCACATCAAGCAGCTCATAAGCACCTATAACTCCTGCTCCAGGGGATCAGAGGTCCCTGGCCCCAAAAGCACCTGCATTCACATGCGCATACCCAAACAGATATACAAAAACACATAAGAAAAAAATAACATAACTCGCGGAGTGATGGTGGCACACATCTTCAATCCCAGCACTTGGGAGGCACAGGCGGAGCTCTGTGAGTCCAAGACCAGCCTGGTTTACAGAGTGAGCTCCAGGACAACTAGGGCTACACAGAGAAGCCCTGGCTCAAAAATAAAATAAAATAATTCTTCCTTTAAGAAAATCTCTCTCTCTCTCTACCTCCTACTTGTGGATCAAGATGCAAGCTCTCGGTTACGGCTCGAGCACTATGCCTCTCTCTCTGTACGCTGCCATTCTCCCCGCCTCGATGGCCATGGACTGTCTTAGTCACTGTTCTGTTGCTGTGAAGAGACACCATGACCATGGCAACTCTTATAAAAGAAAGTGTTTAATTCCAGGCTTGCTTACAGTTTCAGAATTGAGTCCCCGCATCATGGTGAGGAAGATGGTAGCATAGTAGCACACACAGTGCTGGAGAAGAAGCTGGGAGCTTTCCATCCTGATCTTCAGGAAGAGGGAGGGAGGAGGACTAGACCTGGATAGCGCTTTTGAAACCTCAAAACCTAGCCCCCAGGGACACACTTCCTCCAGCGAGGCCACACCTCCTAATCCTTCTAAGCCTTACAAAGAGTTTCCACTCCCGGTGACTAAGCCTTCAAACATATGAGTCTATAGGGGACAAACTAATTCCAACCTCCCCGCGGACTCATACTCTGAAACTGTAAGGCCCAAGTTAAGTGCTGCCTTTTATAGAGGAAGTGGGGGGGGGGGCAAAACAAGTAAACTAAAAATTTCCCTCTGAAGTTTCATGGACTCTCTAACTCCTAGTCTACTAGCCCATTGGCGCAGGGAGGAGGGGAGTCCAGGGACCCCAGTTAAGAGCCACTGTGTTATATGTTTCTTCGTGGTTTGTAGAATCAGTTCCATATTTCAGGTAAGGGAAAGAAGGAAGAGGTAAGCTTTTATAATGTTAAACTTAGGTATTTTTCTTCTTTGCTTTTAAAATGTTATTTTGAAGAAATGAGAGGAGTAGACAAATTTTTAAATGACTTTTCTGGATAAACTTGAGAAGTCGACAGTCTAGTCAGTTCCTCAACACACGTTTGTCCCCTCTGGGTGCCGTGAGTGGAACTCAGGCCTCACACATGCTGAGAAAACATTCTACCCCTGAGCCACGCCCAGAACTCGTCTAGAAAACCGGTATTGCCCCTGGACAACATGATGAACCCACCAAACCCCGTTGTCTACTCCCTAATGAGTGCATGTCCCCACTCTTCTGAGAAAGTGCCCCCTCCCTAGGATAGAGTGAAGTCCTGGGAGAGCTAAGCCATTTGGAGCAGCCATTCTCTTGCCAGAGATGGATGTGTAAGGTGAGAATTTAATCTCCCCAGCTGAACCTGCAAAGCAAGGGCTTTTGTTTGGTGGCTGGAAATGCTGAGATCATCGGCTAGCACTGGGGAAGCTGACACCAGATAAGGAAGGCACAGTAAAGACTGAGGGACCCTCAGTCCTTGAGGACATCATAGAGGTGATCCTACCAGGAGCCATGCCACCACCGGACTTCTTGCCATGTAAGATGATGGCCAATTGTATGTGACCATTGACTTTTTTGATTGGCACATAATTATATGTATTTAAGGTGTACAATGTCACGTGTCAATTCATGTACACTCTGTGAGATTTCCAAATTAGAGTAATTAGCATAACCATCACTCCAAACATTTACTGTTTCTTTCTAGGGAAATACTAGAATCTTCAGGCTAATTCCGAGTATTCATTGGTATTGTTAACTGTGTTCGCCCTACTGTGCCATAGAATAAAAACCTTACTCTTCCTGCTGTCTAATTAAAGTTAGGCCCAAGTCCTCTACCCTCAATAGTTGGTGACAATTTTCATTTTACTCTCAACTTCTATGAGACAAATCTGTATGGATTCCTCATGCGCTGTGAGACAATATGATATTTGTTTCCTGGAGCCTGCCTTGTTTTTCTGTACTTTAATATTCTTGAGCTCTGCCTATGTCACAAAGGATAGGAGTTCAGACTTCACATGTGCACCGCATTTTCTCCATCCACTTGGCAGGTAATGGACACTTAGGTTTTAATTTCCTGTATTGGCTATTGCTGGTATCACTGCAGTGAACACAGGAGGGAAGGCATCTATAATGTATTGATCTTTTTTCCTTTGGGTATATGCCCAATAGTAGGACTCCTGAATCAGATGGTGTGTTGGTTTGAAAAGAATGACCCCCCCCCCCCCCGCCGCATAGGATCATATGTTTGAAAGTTTGGTCCCCAATTGGCAAAACTGTTGGAGAGGATTAGCAAGTGTTGTTGGAGGCAGTGTGTCACTGAGAGTGGGGTTTGAGGTTTCAAAAGACCCCGTTTCCTCCAGTGTCCTCTCAGTTCCTCAAACTGGTGAATAAGGATGTGAATTCCCAGCTGCTCTGCCTCCAGGCCTTTACTCCACCACTGTGGACTCTAATCCTCTGAAACCATAAGCCCAAGTAAATGTTTCTTTTAGTGAGTTGCTTTGGCCATGGTGTTTGCCAAAGCAATAGGAAAGTAACAAAGACCGATGGTAATTCTGGTGTCAGTTGTTTGAAGAACCTCTGTACTTTGAGGGAGTTCTTTAAGGTCCAGGTGACGTCATCATACCTGACACAGATGGGCACGTTGGGAAACATTAAGAAGGGGCCCCTGCCTTTTCAAATGCCTTCCTACATCTAGTTCTTAATGTGTTAGAACATCTCAGTACATACAGTACATACAGATCACCTCTTCTATCACTTCACTCAACCCA